CTGGAAGGGGCTCTCGGCTCTCCCTGGAGCCTTCTCCTCTCCAGGTGAACCCCCCCCAGCCTGGCTCCAGAGCAGAGGGGCTCCAGCCCTTGGAGCAGCTCCAGGGCCTCCTCTGGACTCGCTCCAGCAGCTCCAAATCCTTGTGATGTTGGGGATTGCAGGGCTGGAGCAGCTCTGCAGGTGGGGTCTCACCTGAGGAAGCAGAGGGACAGAATCCCCCCAGGATCAGCCCAGGCCTGATGTAAATCAGTCTCAGTGCAATTAATTTCCAGCTTTATTTGCAAGTCCCAACCTCCACGCAACCAGCCCAGGTTTCTCTGCACTCCAACTGTTTATTACAGACCATCTTAACCCTAAAGGATGGGAAAACTCCCCATCCTGCTCTTTAGGTCCCCGTATATTCCAACCACATATTCTTACCCTCTGAAAAAGCCCCAGTTTTCCATGAGCATCCCAGGGAACTTTTAGTTGCCCTCTGTGGTGTCTCCTCCCGTTAAATATCAGGATAACTCAACAGAAACTGTGACTGCAGGAGTGAGTTTTCCCCCTCTGGAGTGAGACAAACTCTGAAGGCAGATTTCTCCTTTCTCCCACGAGTCTGAGCCTGTTTTATTTCCTCTCCATCGATCCACAGAACAGCTCCCTGTTTCACAGGATAATGGATAATGGGTTTGGAGCTGCAGCCAGCAAGTGCTGAAAGCATCCTTTCCTCTCCCAGAGAAAGGAAACCGTGAGATTCCCAAACCAGCCCCAAACCTGCTCATCCCGTTGATATTCTTCAACAAACAATCCAAATTCTGTGATTTCCCAAGGTTTCCAAACCAGCCCCAAACCCTCATATTTCTTCAATAAAAAAATCCAAGCACTGCGATTTTCCAAGATTTCCAACCCCACCCCAAATCCTGCTGGCCTCATTGATGTTCTTCAATAAACCATCCAAATGCTGCAATATCCCAAGATTTCCAAACCAGGCCCAAACCCTGCTGATCCCATTGATATTTCTTCAATAAACCATTCCGAGATTCCCAAGCAAGCCCCAAATCCTGATATTTCTCCGGCACAAAACCCAAACGCCGCAATATTCCAGGATTTCCAAGCCAGCCCCAAACCCTGGCATTTCTCCAACAAAACCATCCGAGCCCTGCGATTTTCCCAAGATTTCCCCATCCCTGCTATTTCTCCGAGAAACCATCCAAGAGCTGCGGTTTCCCAGGCACTCGTTTGGCCTCCGGCGTTGCTCCCCACTCCCGGATCCTGCGGGAGGGATGCTCTGGGGCCAAGCCCAGTTCTGGGGGCTCCGGCCGCGGTATTCCCTGGGGAAGGACGGGGCTGGAGCCCGGGCAGGGCTGGGCTGCGCAGCCCCAGCTCCTCCCTCTCGCTATTTATTCCTCGCCGGAGCTGCTGAGGCTGAATCACCTCGAGCCGAGCAGGGAAGGAGCTCCCGGCCGGTGAGTGCCGGGGAAAACGGGACGCGGCGGCCCCGGGTGGGATAAACCCAGGGGCGAGGGGGGTTGGAAGGCCGAGCAGCATCGCGGGGATCGGGAGCTGCCTCCTTTCCCTGCCATCGCTGCCTAAAAATAGACATTTCCAGCGTCTCCTTAAGAGCCAGAGCTCGGCTTTGCCCGGTGCTTGTTTACTCAGTGCTTGCTCAGCGCTGATGCCGGCGGGGAATTTTTCCTTGGAGGGTTTTGTCCTTTCCCTCGTCTCCCGGCTGCTCCCCCGTTGTTTGGGGGATTAACAGAAAAAAAAAAGGGGAGGGGAGAGGATTTCTAAAACTAGAGGTGACATTTTCAGAGAGCAAACTGCCAGCCTGCAGCCCCCTTTCCCAAAACCCCCGACCTGGAATTTCCATCCCCGACAAGCCGAGACGTTCCCAGCATCGCCAGGGGGGTCTGGACACCCCCATTCCCGAGCATCTTCCCACCTTCCACACCTCCCATTGCTTCCTCCCCCACCCTCTCCCTCTCCACGGGCACCTTACCAAGGTTATTTCCACACTTGTTTTGGCACCAGGGTGTTGGTTTTCCCCTCTAAACCCGAAACCTCCTCCTTGCCGACCCTGAGCACGTAATTGCTGCTCGTGATCCCTCCTCGCAGCCTCCATTTTCCACTCCCCCTGTGCCCTGAAGGAGCACAGAATTCCTCCCGTTCTCCAGCACGGAGAGAAACCGCCCCGGTCTAAACCACCTGAATTAATTCCTCATTTCCCACATCCGCGGAGAGGAGAGGAAGGTTAAACAGAGTCAGGGCAAAATACCTACGAAGCCATTCGATGGCATAATTTAATATCAATATTATGGTCGCAGCAGAAATGTTATTTCCGAGCAGAGGGATCGCAGCTCCAAGCCCGGGGAAGCGGCTCCTGGTGCCCATCACCCCCGGGTTTTTGCCAGGGAACCCGTTTATTCGGGGGGAAGCTCAGAGCTGGTTAATTAGCGCGACGCTAAGGAGCCTTTGCCCTGTTTATCAGAGCTCAGCTCTGCGAAGGCAATTAGAGGAGGAGCAGGTCAGAGCTGCTGGGCTGGAACATCCTCCAGGGCTTTGCCATAACCTGTTTTCATCCGGGGGCTGATTTTTCCCCGTTGGAACTCACTGTGGGGAGTGATATCTCAAAAAAAAAAAATTTAAAATTGCCATTTTGCTGTTCCCCCCCCCATTTCCTGATTTTCACCCAGGTTTTGTTGTTTCTGCCGTGTCTTTCAGCTATTTTTAACCCCCTGATCTCATCCCTGCCCCCAGCGGGTGGGTGAGGAGGCAGCAAACCCACTCCAAAGAGGGTGGTTTGCACCCAGATTTTTCCATGAGCAGGCAGCCCAAGCCTGGAATTCCTCCCCATCACCAGGGACAGGCTTGTGCATCTTCCCTGCTCTTTCGTTTAGGCCTTTTGCAAACGATCCCACCCAAACACAGACGTTTAAAAGGCTTTAAATCAAACGTTTCTTGACATGAGACCAGATTTTAGGGAGCGTGGAGAGAAAAACATCATTATCTGAACCCAAGGAGAGATTAATTTGCTTTTTGTAGCCCATAAAACCCTATCTAGGTCGCAACAGAAGAATTTCTGGTTTAAACAGTGGGTTGTTTGGCCTCTTTGGCTGTTAAGGGTGATATCTCAGGAGAGACCATCACCTCCTACTTGAATTAGGGTTATCCCTGGGGAAAGGGGTGAATTTTAAGGAAGTTGGTCCATTAGTTGCTGCGAAAAAAAAGCATTTAGGACTTACATTTAATTGTTTCTTGCTGTAACATGAGCCAGAAAGCACATCCAAGGGTGCTGTGAAACACCCACCCACACTGAGAATGCTTCTCTCGCCCTACCCAGCATCCTGGCGTGGGATTTTGGGGGATAGCTCAGGCTCAGGAAGGATGGAAAAACTCTTTGCTATGGTGCACTCACATATTAAACACGAGGGGAGCAGCAATTCGGTGCCCTTGGCTTTGCAGGGGGGCATCCAAAGGAATCCTGGAGGTGCTTTCCAAAGGATTTGCAGACCTGGTGTGTGTTATACAGGCTGGATTATACACATAGGGAGAGAAATGGCTCGTTAAATAGGATTTCAGCCTTGCCAGCCCACCAGCTGATGTGGGAGATTCCTGGCATGTCCCTGCAATGCCAGCAGGAAACGCTGAGTAAGGGATAATTGCAAACATGTTAAACTCAAAAAATGTTGGTTTTCACTTCAGGCCTGTTGCACATTAACAGGGATTTGGGCAAAATACGCTGAATTCTGTTCCTTGGGAATATAAAACCTCTGGGGCCAGGCTGGGCGTTGCCCTCCTGGCAGCACTGGGTACGCAAAAGCTTTGGGATTGGGCTGGATCCATTCACTGCATTGATCCTGGCACATCAGAAATCCCGTTTATGTCCTCTGATTAGGCAGAGCAGGTTTGATCAGTGGGGTTTTACCTCCCAATTAGTTGAAGCTGGGTTTTTTTCCAAAAGGTTTTTCTTTCACTGCTTGAAATTGCCGTTACCTGCTGAAAACCTGTGGGGGGATATATATGTATAACAAAATAAATATATATATATATAATATATATTTATTTTTTGGGGGGGGTTTATTCTTTTGGGGGAGAGATAAATATGCATTTAAGTGCAAAGCTGTTTGTTCTGCAGCCGGATTTAGGGGGATGAAGCGTGTTTTAGACGGGGGTCTCTGCCTCCTGCCCTGACACTCCCTGCCCTCGTGTCCTCAGGTTCCACAGCCATGGCCAGGCTCCTGCTCACCTCCCTCTTGGTGGTCCTGCTCCTCGGCATCTGCACCGACGTCGCCTTCTCCAAGAAGGGCAAAGGCAAACCCGGTGGGGGCACGTGGGGCACGGGGAGCCACCGCCAGCCCAGCTACCCCCGCCAGCCCGGCTACCCCCACAACCCGGGCTACCCCCACAACCCCGGCTACCCCCACAATCCCGGCTACCCACACAACCCGGGCTACCCCCACAACCCTGGCTACCCAGGCTGGGGCCAGGGCTACAACCCCTCCAGCGGGGGCAGCTACCACAACCAGAAGCCGTGGAAAGCTCCCAAACCCAAGACCAACTTCAAGCACGTGGCGGGGGCGGCGGCGGCGGGCGCCGTGGTGGGGGGGCTGGGGGGCTACGCCATGGGCAGGGCCATGTCGGGGATGCACTATCGCTTCGACAGCCCCGACGAGTACCGCTGGTGGAACGAGAACTCGGCGCGCTACCCCAACCAGGTGTATTACCGCGACTACGGCGGCTACGTCCCGCAGGACGTCTTCGTGGCCGACTGCTTCAACATCACCGTCACCGAGCACAGCATCGGCCCCGCCGCCAAGAAGAACGCCTCGGACGCCGGGCAGGCTGTGAACCAGACGGAGGTGGAGCTGGAGAACAGGGTGGTGACCAAGGTGATCCGGGAGATGTGCATCCAGCAGTACCGCGACTACCGCCTGGCCAACGGCATCCGGCTGCACCTCGCCGACGCCTCGCTCGCCGCCCTCCTGCTCCTCGTCCTCTTCGCCATGCACTGATGGATCCCGGGATCCCGCGGCTTTGAGATGTCACCCGTGTCCCCGTGGGGACCCCCCGCCCTCCCCGTTCTCGCTTGCGGTCGTCGTCGGTGAAGAGCCCTTGGGGCGCGCGGGTGCCGGCGCTCCCCGTCACCTCCTTGGGGTTCACCTCCATCACCTCCTTGGGGTTCACCTCCATCACCTCCTTGGGGTTCACCTCCATCACCTCCTTGGGGT